CCCCTCCCGGTCCCCTGGCGGGGCGGCTCGACTCGGGCTGCACTGGCGGCGGCAGCGGCCGAAAGGCGACTTGCGGGGCGCGCTCGCCGCGGTGGACCCGTACGCTTCCTCTCGGGGACCCTTCACGCACTCGCGCGGCCTCGCCGTCCCTCGGGAGCCGGCGGGACCCCCGGCCGGCAGGGAGCGCCGGCGGTGGCACCATGAGGCGGCCGTGGAGCGCGCTGCTGCTTGGCGCCCTGCTCTGCTCACACGGTAAGCGGCGCCGCAGCGCCCGCGCGGACCGGCCGGCGGGGAAAGTTTGTCTCGGGGTCCGGCAGCTGCAGGACTCACCTCCCAGAGCCTGACGGCGCAGGCTGAGGCCTGAGACCCCGCACCCTCGCTCCAAGCAGTAGCCTTGAGCTTGCGTGCCGGGGAGGGCACTGGAACTCCCCCAGATATTTAAGTCCGAGAGGGGGCAGTCGTGGAGGACCCCCCCGCCCCCCCGCCCCCCAAGACACCAGCCCCCGGGCTCGGGTCTGGACCCGACCCGGGGACGATCCGAGGCGCTAGTTCGCCTTCCCTCGTAGCTCTTTGAGGAGTTGGGGGCGGCTTCCCTTTCAGGTTAAAACGGGGTCTCTGTGTCCTTGGTGCAAATGAATGTGTGGGAAGAAAGGGGCGCGGGGGAGGGTGGTCGCTAAACTCTACTTTGTAAATAGCCCTCCTTCCGACGAGCTGGGGGTCTTGTGCTGGTTGATGAGAGGAGGCCCAGTGGAATCGGAATACTTGCGTGCTGGGTTTTCCTCTACACGGCGAGCAGTTCCTTGCCCCCACTGAGGGTCTTCGGACATTGCTTGCTTGCAGCATCTCCCCTTAGTGGGGTTTTGGGTTCCCTCTCCAGGCTGCGGCCAATCAGCTTCCTGCCCTGGATCCATCACGGGTGGGGAAGGGGAGGGAAGGAAGAGGGGAGAAACTGTTGAAAGGGGGGGCAGAAGAGGGACATAGGGAAGAAACTGCTAGAAGGTTCAGCAGATCCGTCCTAGGGGTAGGAGGTCTGGGGGAGCGGGTGTTGGCGAACCTGTGAGAGGCAGCCTCCCGGCCCGCGCGGTGGTCCCGGGGAGCTGGACGCACGGCACAGGACTGCAGCTTCATCTGCTCCTGATTAATATCTTGTTTGGTGCCCGTACGCAACTGTTGTGTGTGATTAGAACTCCAGCGGAATCTGTTTCTCCGCAGTCCCCTAGGACCGTGGGTGCACCCCGTGATTTAGCAGCTGTCTCTAGTTTGCGCCCAAAGATCAAAGAACTTTGATCTTTGAACCTCAGCCCTATTCACCCACCGCTATTCAATGCGCGGGAAGTGTGTGTGTTTGTGTTGGTGTGTGTGTGAGGGGGGGTGGTTGCGAACCTCTCCATTCTCCTCCAGCCCAGTGAGGAGATGGGGTTCGGAATGGAGGGGTCTGTACATCCTGGCCTTACAGGGTTCTTTCTTTATCGTTGGAGAGCTCGTGTGGAAAGCGTCAGTGCACATTTCAGAACTTGCCTGGCAGGGCGTGGAGATACCTGGGCACTTGTTTTAAAGACTGGTTGGCCTCCCAAATCCAAAACAGAGTCCTCATGTCTGTTTAAAATATCCAGGGTCTTAAATGACGTTTTCCAAGCCCTCTCCAACACCGATTACTCTCCTCTCTTCACTCTTCTCCCAGAAGTAGCCTGGCCGACCCACTTCCCCGGCTTCCTTCGCAGTGTGCACCCCCGCCTGGCTCTCCTAGGAGGTTATTTGTAGCCTCTTTGGCGTGTCGGGACAGCGGCCCTACAGGGGTAGGAATGTGTGTGCTCTTCCCACCACATGGGCCCCTTAAAGGGACAGCTATGCTTTTTGGGGGGTTTTCCCCTTCCGGCTGTGAGTGGAGAGGATGGAACTTTCCTCTCGGCCCCCTGGAGGAAGTTTTGAAAAAGATCAAGGGAAATGGCACAACACTGAAAAATAAAAAGGGCTAAAACGGATACTAACAAAGCCAGAGAGGAGATTGCCGCCTTCTGCCCTTAGGGAAAGGGGCACTGGAAGGTTCTTCTGAGACTGGCTCTGAGGATTTGACTGCTGCAAAATTGTCAAAGCTGCAGCCACTACATCTGCAATGAGAATGGAGTAGGGAACTGTGTGGATTTAATGCTGTACAGAAAAGGATAGAAGGGTTCTTGGTAACTTCTGGGATTTTTTGTTTGTTTACGTAAGAACAAAAGTTCAATGGGAACGTGTAAGCAGGCGTTGAGGCTGTGTGCTCAGAGAAAGAACAGTCTTTAGCACGCAAATCTAGACTTCGCCTTGCCTGATACTGACCCCTCCTTGGAAGGCTGGAAGGGATAGATTCATGGCTCCCAGTGACACTGAGCGGTTGCTCTACCAAACACCACGATGAGGATCCAACGGTGTGTTCAGGGGCTCTGGAAGAAACAGCGCATCATAGCAGATCACTTGGGCAGACCCCCACCTCAGCTAGAAGTGAATTCAAGACACTGAAGTGTAAGGTGCTTATTTGGATGCTTTTAGTCCTTTGGGCTTCTCCTGGACCCTCTGGGTTTGGCCTGAGCTACACAGCACATCATCCAACAGTAAAGATTTTGCAAGGAAACTTGATTGCTGGCCCTAGCCTTGGCTAGCTTCCTCTTGAGGGTTGAGGCGAGACCTCCGGCAATCACTGGCGAAAGAGTGGAAACCATATTGGTCTAGGAGGGTCTTCCCATAAGCAAAAAGTTGTTTCTGAGAATGAGTGCAAAAGAGTGGCACTGAGAAGGGTCCCCTTCCTATCTGGCTGTTGTCGTAGTGCTTGGTTGACCTTGTCCCTGAGTTTATTGGACATGTAAAAGATGCTTGGCTTGCCTCTGATTTTGGATTTCCTCTTCTGTCCCCTGATGAGTATCGGATAACATCTCTGGGACTCGCACGTGGTATTAAGAATGACAGGTGCAAGGCAACCAAGTCTGACCATGTCTGATACAGAGTCGTGGGGCATGTCCATTTCTGAACCAGCAGAGAATCAGGAGGTCACAGAGGACAGGGTGTCTTTCAGGTCTTCCCTTACTCTTTCTACTGATTGTGTATCTGGACTCCTTAGAAGAAAAATGGGAAGGATGGCTTTGTTGCTTCTCCTTTGAAGAGAAGATCGGCAGTAGAGGCTTCTGAATAGGAACAGAATTTCAGTTTTAAAAAGTAGGTTCATCTTGGGCCCTCCCTGGTGGCGCAGCGGGTTGGAGCACAGCACTGAGAATCTAAAGCCGCTCCCGCATAAGTCCGATCCCCGCCTGCCCCGGAAGGGACCACATGGCGTGGCAGACCTCTCCTGACCCGCCCGCTGCTCCCCTCAGCAGTGTACTTCGTCGATCTGCCTGTTCTGTTTCCCACTCTGTCTCTGGTGAAGCCTCTCGCCGCTCCTGAACCTCTGGCCTATACCCCAGTTCTGTATGCACAAATAAATAAATCTTTAAAAAAAAAAAAAAAAAGTAGGTTCGTCTTTTTTCTTTTCCTGGGCACTTCTGATAATTGAGAGCCAGTTCCTTGCTTTGGTGGACTGGATCTGTCAGCCGGTGCTAGCTGCAGTTTCTCTACATTCCTTGGCGCAGCTTAGCCAAGAGTTTTGCCTGGGCATGGGGCATCTGGGCCCCAGACGGTGCCTGCACTGTCAGCTCATCTTGGGCATCAGCAGCCCTTCTTAGCTTGTCAGCCTGGTGGGATTCAGTGTCCCAGGGGAGGCTCCGTACTGCCTAGTTAGTTGGCAAAGCCCAAGTTTGGTCCTATAAATAGCTCAGATGAATGCCTGTGCTTGCTGTTCTCCTAGTTTAGAGCTGGCAGGGTCAGGTGCTTGCTCCCCAGTACACTCAAGCGCATACCCTAAACTGGGCTCTGCACCCATTCATTTATTCATTCATTCAGCAAGCAACACATTTGCCCAGCAGTCATCTAATCACTGCAGGCAGAGCTCAGTGATTCAGAAGCACAGGCAGACCTGGGTTTGAATTTGGCTTCCATACTTCTTGACTGTGCAAAACATTTACTCTTTCTGAACTTCAGGGTTCTTCTCTGTAAATGGAGGGGGAGTCGAAATAAATGACACTTGAGACTATTGTAAAAATAACAATATGTGCAAGCCATCCACACAAAAATTAGCAACGATGGAGCTCCTATAGCCCTGGATATATGTCAGGCAGCTTGCACAGTGGATTAGAAATGGTTTTGCCTTGGGACTATGGGAGCCAGGTAAACAATAAATTATATTATAGTGCTGGATGCCAAAATATAGGGCTCAGCCTTTCATTTATTTCAGCTGTTTCTTGTTTTTATCTCTTGAAGATCTTGCCCCCTCTCTTCACCATTGAAAGCCTAATGAAAACCTAAGCATGTCCAAACTTCCAGAAAAGAGGTCCGTTAAGCTATCATTTGAATCTGGAGAGCCCCTTGGCCTCAGCTGTCCTAGGCTGGTCCTGGGAGATGGGACTTTCCTCTGCGCTCTCCCCTGCTGAAAGCCCTGTGGCGAGGCATCTCACGCTAAGGTTGCTGTGACCGGGGTGAGAGGTGCCAGCTGAGGTCTCTGGCTGGAACAGTTTAGAATTCCAAGCTCTCTCTCCCACCCGCCTGGGAAGGGAATCAGGCTCATAAGGTAGCAATTGCCCCGGCTGGGGGGTGGGGTGGGGGGGCTGGGCTGGGCTGTGGCCCTGCTGCTGCCTCATGATTACCATCTTCCATCAGGCATCCTGTCAGTGTGCAGGCATAATTGATGCGGGTCTCAAGCCCCACATCGCCCCCAGCCCCCAGCTCCTCCACCCCAAAGTTTGACCCCTGTTGTCTCTTTGTTTCTTCCTTTTAAGTTGATGCCAGTGATTTGATGTGGGGGGGGGGGGCTGCAGATAGTTGACCTTAACCAAGCACAGCATTCAAAAGAGCTGATTCTGTAGCTTTCCTTGTGGCCGATTGACTCCATTTTCTCTTCCGCACTTTTGACTTAGCAAGAAGCAAGCATCCTCAGCGTCCCTGGCACCTCTTCTGCCCGGCGCTGCAAACTTCATTCTTCCTCTGCACGTAGCCATTACCCACGGGACTCTCAGCCGGGACTCTCAGCCGAGCGGATTGGCTGGGAGCTCTCCCTCTGCCCTGCTTCCCTGCGCATTCAGGTTCGAGTGGGGAGAAGGGCTGCCTGAGTCCCAGCTGGGGAAGGCCTTGCTGGGACCTGCGGCAGGCCCCGACTTGGCTACAGGAGCAACCCCCCTCACCTCTACGCATTG